GGGTTGGGGGTGGTTTGAGAAGCGCTTTTGTGAGCGGGTGGTGTGTCAGAGTGGCCTCCGAGCACGTAGCGGTAGCGGCGCGCAGGGGTGTGCGTGTGTGTGTGTGTGTGTGTGTATATGTGTGTGTGTTCTTGTGTGTGGGGGGGGGGGGCGTTGGCGTCACATCCCCAGATTTTTTGCAGGAAGGCCCCTCAAATTTTTTGCGCTCCTTCCACCACCCAATGCCGGACATTCCCATATTAAACACACACGAAATCACACAACCTCACACACGATAACACACACACATCAAGGTGCGCAACCTGCGGCCCTGCATCAAGGCCGCGGTGGACTTTGTGTCGCCAGAGTCGATGGGACAGGTGCTGGCGCGCGCTAGGAAGCTGCGGCGACTTGGGCTGCGGCACAGAGCGCGGCGCGATGCAGAGGTGCGGCAGCAGCAGCAGGAGCAGGAGCAGCAGCAGCAGCAGCAAGGGGCAGGTGGCGCCAACGCGGAGCAGCAGCAAGGGGAGGCGGATGCCGTCATGCAGGAGGTGCCGGGCGCCGTCCAGCCGCAGCCTGAGGTGGGTCAGCGGCAATTGGCGTTGCAGCAGCAGCAGCAGCAGCAGCAGCAGCAGCAGCAGCAGCAGCAGCAGCAGCAGCAGGAGAAGAAGAAGGAGAAGGAACGGCGGCAGGAGGGGCAGCAGCAGCCAAATGCACCGCAGCCGCGCGGCCGAAAGCGGCGGCGGTTGCTTGAGGAAGGCCAGCGGAGCGACGGCGGCGCTCTCAGTGGCGATGACGGGCCGGACGGCAGGGGTGCGCACGAGGTGGAGCAGCCTCCCGCCCGCACGGCGGCGGCTGAGGGGCCCCACGCGACAGGGGAGGCGCGGCAGCAAGAGGAGGAGCATGGGGAGGGGCGACTGGGGGCAGAGGTGGAGGAGGGGCAAGAGCACCCTGCTGACCTGGCGCACTGCGAGAAGCTGCAGGCCGGCAAGGTGCTTGTATGGGGCGCCGTCCGTGCATGGCGCGCGCTGCAGCTGCTGCTCCGCGCCGACGAGGAGGAGGTGGCGGGCGGCGGCGGGGATGGGGGGGACGCGGAGGGGCTGCCGGCGGAGGAAGGCGAGCAGGCGGGACTGGAGGGAGCTGATGATGAGGAGGAGGAAGAGGAGGAGGGGCGAGAGGAGGCGGAGGAAGAGGACCAGAGGACGCCGCGCCCCAAGCGGCAGCGGCAGGAGATTTGACATGCAGGCAGGCGAGCGCGCGCCTGTCGGCTCCGCTTGGCCGATCGGCTTCCGCCCGAGTCGTGCGGACACAAGAGTGCGTGGCGACAAGGTGGTCGCCCCAGCTGTCCTGATTGGCCTGGCAACCAGGCGGTGGGCGCGGCATCACCCTGAATTTTACACCTCAAGCTGCATCCGAGGGCGGCACTGCCCAAGGGCACGTCTGCCCAAGCTCCAGGCAGCCGTGACGGTTTTGTGTGTTGGTTCGTGCTTTGTACAGCACACCAGCCCTGCTGCTGGATTTCATTGCCACTCCCCGACGCGCCTCGCCTCGTGCGCGGAGCTTCCTGCTGGCGGCATTGCATTCAGTTCTGGGGTGTTGCTGGACCCAATAAGTCGGCTCGTTGACGTCGGCAGATGGGGTGTGGTGGTTGATCTGACTCTGCGTTTTGCTTGCTCTGAGTTCACCATAGGCTGCGTCAAGATCTTGGCACAAAAATGGCTCCTGCGCCGGGGCCACCCGCCAACACCACTGCCATACCGCGCTACTAGGCACTGAAATGCAGGCCGTGATGGGTTACATCATGCGAGCTGACACGCGCTACTTGGGTCAGGGGGCAGTGGGCAGCGTCGTCGTCCTGGAGTGGTGGCCAGCGACACTGGGCCCCTGCTCACCCTGCAGCGGATGTTTCAGTGATGTGCGCGCACATGCGCCCTGCGGCTCGCCCCCTACAAGGCAGTGCAGGCGCCGGCGGCTGCAGCTGGCGCAGCTCCACGGGGTGGATTGGGTGTGAAGCAAGCGTTGTGGGCAATGAGGCGTGGTGAAAGAAACAAGTCAGGACTCCTATACTTCATGATGTTCAGCTGGCACAGAACGTTGCTCTCAACGATTTTACACACCAGGAGACGTTGCAGTTCGTCTGCTCATCTGCCGCTGCTGGCCGCCTGCCGCCGGCTCAGCAGAGAAACCACCAGGAAGCCTGCCGCAAGCCACGCCGCGCCGCCCCTACCGATGCCGCCGCCGCCGCCGCCGCTGCTGCGTTGGCCGCCGCTGTTTGACTGCGCGCCTCGTTCTGCAGGTCTGGCGGGGCGCTGCTTCACCTGCGGCGTCATTTGGGGGAGGGTGCCGGGCTGACAACAAGGGTAGGGACGGTTGTGATTAAGAAGATCCAATCATGAGTGAGCAGTGACGCCATGCGATTGCAAGCCCGCTGGATCTACACAGCCCCTGCGGCGGCGGGAAGGAGGCGTATCTGACTTGACAGCACCTGCCGGGCGGATCACCCCGGCCATGCGAGAGTCCGGTAGCACGCGCCCCTGCGCCAGCCCCGCGCCCAGGCCGCCGGGGACTGACCAGAGCTGCTGCCGCTGCTGCGCCCCCTGCAGCGCCTTGAGGCGCGCCTCCGCCGCCGCCGCCAGCTGCTCCCGCCGCCGCGCCTGCTCCTCTGCTGAGGGGGGGCCCTGGGGCCCGCCGCGGCCGCCGCCGGCGCGCCCGCCCTGCCTGCCGCCGCGCACCTGCGAGGCGCCCTGCCTGCCGCCAGCCGCACCCCGGCCCGCGCTCGCCCTGCGAGGGGCGGCGTCGCGCGTCACAGGCGAGGAGAAGCGGGGCAGTGAGCAGCGAGCAACGAGCTCAGCAGGGGGGCAGGGGGAGGGGGGGTAACGCCAGGGCAAAACAAAACACCCCCTGGTGCGGGGAAGCTTGCACGAATGCATGCTGCCATTCCTTGGCGTGTGCCAATTCAAATCAAACATGCACCTCTGCTCACGGCCGTGCTTTGGGCCCGCTTGCAAACACTTACACACACACACACACACACACACACACACACACACACACACACACACACTTTATCCAGGACACACACGCGTCCCCATGCACAGATCCCCACCTCAAGCTTATGGCGGCCGCCTCCGCCGCCGCCCTGGCTATCTCCTCCTCCATCGCCGCCTTGGCAGCCGCCGCCGCCTCGGCCTTCTTCTCCTGCGACAGCTCCTGGCGGCCCTTGTCCTTCGCCTTCTGGCGCGCCTTCTTCTCGGCCTGGGCGGTTCGGGGCCGTTGGGGAGAGGGACTGTCGGTGAGATCTAGCCATGTTGTGTGTGTGTGTGTGTGTGAGTGTGTGTGAGTGTG